GGGCCCTTGGAAATCTGGCACTGCATTTTCTTCGGGAAATTCTGAGGCATGTTGTTTCCAGCTCCTCTATCCTCAAGGAGAAAGAAGAGATGGGACTTTCCTCTTAGCATGGGCATGGGCCATTTCCCATTAAGCTTTGTATCTCCAGACTGGACAGATATTCCAGACATGGAATTTGTCTCTTTCCAACATAAAGCAGACTGGTTTGCTTGCCAGGGCAACCCCCTTGGATCCAGTAAAACTCATCCAAATTGGCATGAATTTTGGCAGGATGCCCTCCTACCCAGGGCACTTTCACATTGGCTGGGGAGGAAGGCAGAAGATAGGAGAAGGGATGGTAATGAAGAATCCAATCATAGCGGCTGCCACCTGGGGTAGGGGGATGACACCCAAAGTATTTCACTTCCTCAAAGTGCCCGGGTAAAAGTACTGGCTCCAGAAGCAGCTTTTATTTTATCTTGCCTTGCTCCACCAATCTCTGAGTCACCCCCCCCCCCGCCATTTTTTTTAGGACTAAGAATGGTGAATGAAAAGACTATTCTCTCTTTCCCAGAGATCTGTTCAATGAGGTTTCCACAGAGCACTCTTCCACAGCTGTAACCCTAAAGTAGATTGTCAACTGGATACTTCCCTTAGCTTGGGTGGGGGGGTGAGCTGGGGTATGATATCATTAGGAAGACCCTAGCCAAATTTGGGAGTGCATCTCCTTTTAGATGGCGTTGTGAATTAGCTCCATCTCTGCACCCCTGCTGTTGCAATGGCGCAGACTGCGAAAGGGAAGATTCTCAGAGGAGCTGTGTTTTAATGTAGCAATTTGATTCAATTTTCCACTCTATAAAATTACCCATCACTGCTTGTTGCTTTCTAACAGACACCTTCACTCTTAATTTAACAATCCTATCGAATTCTGCCAGGGAAATTGGAAAAATTTATCACCTGTGAAATTTTATTTTCCTTCGGTTGTATCTGTTTTTGTAAAACTTCATTAACGACGATGACTTGCTGGGGAAATTATCATTTTTTTTTTAAACTTGAGACACAAGAAATAGTTCGACCTTAACCAAGACTTCATTTACATAATAAAACACCACAACAAAGAGCGTTGGAAATCAGGGGATTGGCAGAGGCTGGAGGTGGCCCAGAAAGAGGTTGGAGATCCCAATGGCTCGGTTGGGTGGTGTCTGAAGCCCCCACCCAACCAGGAAAGAGTTCCAGGGTCTTGGAAACTTCGCCCCTTTGGCTGCTTATTTTGGGGCAGTTGACTGTGTTCAGGGTAGAGAAAGGCTATAGTTTCAGGAGGCAGGAATTCTCTCCTTGGGGAACTTTGAGATGCAACTTACTAATGGCGCTCTTCAGCCAACCAGCTGTTCCTCTCCCCTAGTGCTGGTTTTTTCCTGAGTCCCTAAGTTCACCTAGGACCTGTAAACTCCAGCTTACCTTCATCTTCTAAAGCAGATACAATGAGCTCTTGCCAATTTTCTGTAGGAGTGGAGATTTCTGGATAGGTTTTTAAGAGTCAGTGGTCTAACGAACCTCACAATTAAAAAGACTCATTTTCTAATTTCTGTGAAATACAGGACTCAGCCCTAATGTACATGGACCTTCAAAAGACGTCCTATTCTGTTGCTATGTGGTAGCATTCAGGGAGCCTTGGTTTTAGAAGCCTATGTCAGCAAGCCACGGCAGGCCTTCTCTTCTGGGTCAAGCTCACCCTCAGGAGACAGGAGGGACGCCATGGTAATAAATAGCTTTGGATTTGCAATCAGAGAAACTAGGTTCAGATCCTGGCCTTCTTATTTACTTTCTGTGTGATCTTGGGCACATCGCTTTATTTCGTTGTGCCTTAGTTTCTTTCTCTGTAAAAAGAGGGGGTTGAACTCAAGGATGTCTAAAGTCCATTCCACATCCAAAGCTATGATTCTTAGAAGCTTGGCCACCAGGTAATGACTATTTTGGCCATGACAATTCATGAAGACTGTCTCATGAGGCTCAAAGCAGTTGTGGTCTATCAGTGTGGGTGGGAAGGGTACTCCCACCTGATGAGATAGCTAGTCTTTTAATTTCGATTTCCCACATTGGACCCAACGCTGCACACTAGCTGCTGTCATCCACTCAAGAAGTGGTGCTGTCCACATTTTTGGAGATGTCAGTGGGTATCTCTTTGTAACAAAAGTATAATGCTTGTGTAGGGAGAGGCTGTGGACAGAGTCCACACCCATATTGAAGGGTTGTTTTTTTGTTTTGTTTTATTTTGTTTTGGCCATAGATAGCTCCTTAGATTCATATAATAATGAATTAGGCCATAACATTTTACTACATTAATAAATTTTATTACTTAAATTTCTAGTAAGTCCCAGCATCTAGTGAGTCCCTCTCATGCTCTGACTACAAGGTGAACTTATAGAGGGGCATTCAAGGGTTATCTACTCTAGCCCCCCATCTGAAGCATGGCTCCCCTACTCAACATCTCCAACATAGGATCCTGTATCACATAATGTAGATCAGGGCTATTTAACTTGGGAGTCCATTCTTTTTTTCTTCCCCTCAAGGTGGCTCAATGGATAGAACACTGTACCTGGAGTCAGGAAGACCTGAATTCAAATCTAACCTCAGACACTTACTAGCTGTGTGACCCTGGGCAAGTCATTTAACCTCTATCTGCTTCATTTTCCCCATGGGTAAAATGAGGATAATAATAGTACCTGCCTTCCAGAGTTGTTATGGGGATAAAATGAGACACTATTTGCAAAGCATTTCACAAACCTAAAGGTGCTATGTAAATGCTAGCTATGGTCGTTATTATTAATAATATTTTGGTAACTCTAATTCAGCATAATCATTTTCCTTTGTAAAACTCTGAATTTTATTTGATTCATTTAAAAGCATTCTTCTGAGAAGGGGTCCATAGGCTTCACCAGGATGACATAGGGGTCAAGGACACAAGAAAGGTGAAGAAGCCCTGGTCAACATGCTAGTCTCCAGCTCTCCTATCTCCTTGTATAAGCAAGGAATAAAACCTGGTTCTGCTGCTGCTTGTTGTGAAGGCTTGGGTGAGTCACCTCATTCTCTCCATGCCTCAGCTTCCTTCTGAGTGCAAGAGTAATAATAATGATGAGAATGATAGACAGCTGGCTTCAGAACCAGGAAGACCTGGGTTCAAGTCTTGACTTTGGCACATACCGGTTGAGTGACCCTCGATAAGTTACTTACCTTTTCAGTGCTCTAGGCAGCTCTATAAGGCCATAATTTACATAGAAGGTACCCACCTCCATTGGTAGAGGGATTTTCCTCTTCCAAGAGTTCCTTCTATCAGTGAATTCATTGGTCCAGTCCTTATGCCTATCCTTTGGACTTCTGAAACATTTTATACAATTTTGAGGTGAATGGACATTTCCTCTGAGATAATGTATGTAATGTCTAGTGCTTAACACAGTGCTTGGCACATAGTAAGCACTTAATAAAGGTTTGATGATTGAGAAAGGTGCTTTACAGTTCCTTTCCTAACCTTGTTCTTAACTTTCTGGACTTCAAAACCACGCGTCTGCATCTATTTCATCTTGGAAGTGCTGGGGGGTTTCTTATCTCCAATAACCTACTATCCCTGTGACCTGCTCACCCTGGAATAGCCTTCTTCAAGGTTCACCCCCTTTTTCTTCCCAGTGGCAAGTTCCTCCTGTAGTCGCCATTTTATGGAAGGGCCCAGGCAGACCTTGCTTCATTCCCCTCTCAGACCTTTTCCTGATTTTTTGGACTTCAAAAACATTCCCCTGAACGATGTACATTTACCTCCCTCCACTCCCTTACTTTTCAACTTCCTTTAGAGGCTCATATTCCTTATTAGAATGTAAGCTCCTTGAGGGCAGGAACTGTATTTCTTTTTACCTGTACAGCATTTATATCCTCAGAGCTTAGCACAGTGCTTGGCACATAGTAAATACTTAATAAATACTAATTTCCTTTCCTTCCCTTCCTTTCCCTTCCCTTTCCTTCCTTTCTTCCTTCTTTCCTTCCTTCCTTTGCAAACCCGATAGCAACTATTATTGTAGGATAGGGACCTGAACCTGTGACTTCATTGATAGAGAGAACGCTTGGGTAAGAAAATTCCCTTTACCAGTGCAGGCGGGCACCTTCTGGTCACCTTACAGTTTCAGAGAGTTGTCTGGTACAATGAAAGGTGAAGTAACTTGCCCAGAGTCACACAGCTAGAATGTACAGAAGGTCTTTCTGACCCTGAGCCCAGCTTTCTGTTCATCATGCCGTGGTTACCTTTACTGTTCACTATTGTCATTTATTATTACACAGAGAAGGAAGCTGAGGCTTGGAAGGAATGAGGTGACTCCTCCAAGGCTTCCCAGTCAGCTGGTAACTAGTAGACCCAGAACACGACCTCGGGTTCTCTAGACATTTTACTCTTTGCTCTCGCAAGAAGACAGGAGGGATGGAGACTGGCATCTAGACAGTAATGTGCTGGGGTTGGCTCATACTGGCTTAGCCAGTTGTTAAATTTTCTATGTGAGTGTTTTTACCTCAGAAATCAGCAAACATTACAAATCAAAGATCTATTTTTCATTTTGTTTTGATCGCCTAGACCTAAGAAAGTGATGGATAACATGTTTAATAATAAAGATTAACCTTAAAAGTGTCTTGTGTGTACATTTCCCCCCGTGGAGAGCCAGTTATTAAACACTTATCAGCACACTCCTTTATCTAAATAATATAACCCAGGAGCCCTTGTTGGGATGTTGTACCCATGCTTCAGATGGGTAGAGGAGACGGCCTTGAAGGTCCCTTCCAACTCTGAGACTCTATAACGTCATCTTGTTGTCAGATCCAGGGAGCTCTCCCTGCTGGGCCTCCAAGAAGATTCCCAAGGATTGGTCCCATTTTGCTTCCCTTTAGAAGGTGAGAAGAGCTCACCCTGGACTCTATCAAAGCCTGTCCTTTAAACAGCTCTAGAGAGGTTCAAACTGGAAGTGAAGGTAGACTTTACATCTTCTCACCTGGCAGCACTTCATAAATGTCCTCTTCCTTTTCTTCCTCCTCCTGGTCCTCCTCCATCCCAGTTTCTTTTTTCCCCAGATTCCCAGGAAAGATAACAGGTTTGCAGTGTGCACTGGTATTTGAGGAGTCAAAGCCATCAATATCATCATACGTCTCCTCTTCCTCTTCTTCAAAAGGGATGGTTAAAGAGTTCAGATCTGCCAGGGCAAAAGATGGGAAGGGATTAACATGGAGAGAAGGAAAAGAGCCGAAGCAGAGAAGTAGTCCAGGGAATAAAACATGTCAAAAGAAAATGGAAATACTAGATTAAGCGCTGTTATTTTTAATGTGGGCCCCAGTGGCAGGAAATCCAGAGAAAAGGCCAGATGAACACTGTGTAAGGTTTAAACCATCAACATAAATCCTTTTCTGCAATAAAACTTGATCAGGATGAAGCAACCTCAGAAAGTACGGGTGTCTGTGTGTGTGTGTGTAAGGTATGATCGTGTGTGAGAGCATGAGGACAAGAGAAGAGAAAAGGGCAGAAAAGTGAATGTTGGCAAGCAGAAAGAGGGCTCTTCAGAGGTTCTCTAAGGTATGTGAAGCTTATGGGGATCAATGGTGGCTTTGGCAGCTGAATACAGTACATCGTGTTAGTGGTCCTGCTCCTCTGGACTTTGGTGGAATTTACAGAAGGGTCCTAAGCTAATGAGGACAAGAAGAAGTGGAAGAAAAAAAGTAACAAAAACCCACCACCAAAACCTCAAAGATATAAATAAAGTAGATAAAGGTGGTGGTGGTTTGTCCTTCATTCTCAAAGAGGACCATGACATCAGGGAGGTGATGCCATGACATGCAAGTGAAGTGGATTTAAGTGAAATAGTTAATGAATGGATCTCAGAGGTGAAATTCTCCCCTCTTCCCCCCTCCCTTCTCCCAGCTGCCAAATTGATATTCCTAAAACACAGAACTGATCTCAGTCAGCCTCCTACTCAAAAATCCCCAGTGGTTCCCTCTAGGATAAAATGCACATTCCTCAGCCATGAAGAGCCCACCACAATCCACCTCCTAGCGCCTCTGCTATATTTCCAGAGCTCTGGTTCTGGGGCCAGAGGATGTGGGTTCATATCCCATCTTTGATGTTTACTGCTGGTGTGGCCTTTGTCAGATCTCACCTCTTCTCTAGGCCTTAATTATTTCAGTTTGTAAAGTGGGCTGCACTTGATGGTCTCTGAGGACCTGTCCACTTCTAGGTCCATGACCTTATTTCATATTTCTCCTCTTTACACCCTCTACAATCCAGATGCTGCCTGTAGATGACAAGGCCTTTGCCTTGGTTCTTTCCCTTGTCTGGAACAATACCTGTTCCCTTCTCACTTCCACCTGAGACCTAAAGCACAACTCATTTGCTGACTCCTCCATGAAGCCTTCCTTGATCTCCCTCTCTGCCCCTGACCAGTAATTAGTACATGCCTCATTCTTGTCATCCTGCTAGAGAAGGTACTGTATCCCCTTAGTAGAATGTAAACCCCTTGAAGGTAGGGAGTGCTTAATTTTTGTCTGTTTGGGCCCTGTGCCTAGCAGGGGTCCTTGCACAGAGTAGAAGGTTTAATAAATGTGGGCAGAATTGACTTGAAATGAATTGCAGCTACAGCAATGTCCTTTTGCAATTATAAAGTCTGTTGGCCATAAAGTGGGTCATTGCACAGTGATGCTAAGACATAGCACCACAGGCCTGCATCAGGGCACCAGAGGGAGAGGGTGATGTGATTATTAATAAGCAGATATCTTGTTCTCTGATGTGGGATATTGAGTACCCTCAAAAGCCCCCCCCCCCTTTTTTTTGGTTTTCCATTCAGCTGAGGGTACTTTACAGTATGGCTGAATGAAGCCATCCCCACTCTGGGGAAGGAAAGCATGTGCAGTCTTTTGACTGATTTCACAGGGCAATAACAATGTTTAGCTGGATCAGGCTTTTAATAAAGGGTGTGCAATCATTCTCATCTAAAATTCTGGAGTCACCTGATATGAGGAAAAGATCAAAGGTGCATTTGTGGTTTTGCTCATATGTTGTTATTTTGTTTGTTTTTTAAAAAATAAATGGAATGGATAATTCCTTCAATGTGGATTCTGAAAGGACCACAGGGTAAAGCTCAATAAAGTTGTACTGAGCTTTATGGAGGTTTACACACTTAGGGGTATATTACATGCATAAATCCAGGGCACCTAGATCAGCCGGTACACTGTTGTCTCCATCAATGTTTGTGTTTGCCTCATTCTGCTTTATTATATGTGATGTTCTTGTGATGGCAAAAGTCTAGTCAAGGAAAAGGGGCAATCCTTTGTAATGAACACAACTGTGCTCCTTTTCATCTATGAAAAAAGCTCAAAGTTGGATGAGGCTTGGAATCCCCAATTCTGAGAGATCTCCCTCCAACTCACAGGCTAAACACAAAGTTGGACTTTTCTCCCTCTTCCTGAGGAGGTAGGGCCTTGGCTGCTCTGAAACATGAACAAATACTGTCTAGACCGGACAGTTTCGGGATATGGATTCTGGGCTGGCTCTGTCTACCTGTCAAATCAATGAATGCCAAGAGGCCTCCTTCCAGACCACGCTGCCTCTGACCTGTCATGAGGCTACACTGCCCAGCAGAGGGTGCTCTAAGAGCAGAGATACCACGCCTCAGGCTGCCTTGGCCACCCAAACTGAATGGTGACCGGAAAACAAGCAGTCTGTTTTTAACCCTCCAGGGCCCTGAATAAACCCACCACAATATCCAGCTCTAGATTGCCTGTCTCTGCTGAGGGCAGGATAGGAAGGAGTGAGGCCTAAATTGTAGCAGGCTGAATTTAAATTAGGGATAGGGGAGAAATTTGTAGTTATGAACCACAGGGATGAGTCCTGACCAGACTGGAATCTCCCTGGTACCCTGTAGCACAGGTACAGACTTGGGGTGAGCTGGATGACTTCCAAGGTTTTCCTGTCCGGACTCATTATTGTGATCTGTTTACTAGGCCTCAGTCAGACTACTCACGGTAAGGGAGCTTAAATGCTTTGGCCAAGTAATGAGAAGATGGGACTCACTGTGAAAAGATTCTGATATTGGGAAAGACTGAAGGCAAAAGGAGAAAGGGATGACAGAGGATGAGACCGATAGATAGTGTCATGGAAACAATGAGGATAACTTGAACAGGGTCTGAGAGACAGTGAAGGATAGAAGGACCCGGCACGCTATGATCCATGGGGTCAGGAAGAGTTGGGCACGACTGAACAACACCACCACCACCGTTTCCTCTTCCATAAAATGAAAGGGTTGGACAAAAAGATCTCAGAAGTTCCCCCCACCTCTATGTACTGGTGGGGAACCTGCGGCCTCGAGGCCACATGTGGACCTCTAGGTCCTCAAGTGCGGCCCTTTGACTGAATCCAAACTTCACAGAACAAATTCTCTTAATAAAAGGATTTGTTCTGCAAAACCTAGACTCCATCAAAAGGTCAAACCCAAGGACCTAGAAGGCCAGATGTGGCCTTGAGGCCGCAGGTTCCCCACCCCTGCAAGATCTTTTCCAGACTAGGAGTATATACTTTGTTTACTGATCATTATCTCCCCCCTCTAGGCCACAGTTTACTTTTAGAAAGTTATGACACTGGATCAATCAATAAGCATTTATTAAGTACCTATTATATATTAGACACTGGGAGATTTGCTAAGAATACAAATATGAAGAATGCAACAATTCCTACTTTTAAACTTACATTCTAATAAGGGAGATGACAAATACGTGTTTAGGTATTAACACACTAAATACAAATAAATCCAAAGTGTTGGTCATTCTTTGTTTTTGAAGACGACCAAAATGACATCACAATGTTGGGGTCAAGGTACAGTGTGTCTGACCGTGTCGGATCAGACCGATACGAGCTGGGAAGGCTCCACCCTGAGTTGGTCGCAAGTAGCCCATATGAACCTTCGGAGTGGAGATGGCTCTAAATTTGAGCATCTCACGTTTCTTTTGAGCTCCTGCAATTCTGCTTTGCTCATGGAGCACAACGCCTTCTTTGACGTGGGCATGCCATGCTGGGAGGTCCTGTGCCAGTGTCTCCCATGTCACACAATCATTCAAATTCAAAGTGGTCAGTACAAATTAGTATAAGGTAGCCTGGATTGGAGGCACTAGCAACTGGGACAGATTAGTGGACTCGATCAGCAGTTCTCTAGCTTTTTGGTTTCAGGACCTCTTGACACTCTTAAAAATTATTTAGGTTTCTACCCCCTCCCCCTGTTGTTATTGTTTTGTCATTTTTGAATTATGTCTGATTCTTTATGACCCCGTTTGGGATTTTCTTGGCAAAGATATTGGAGTGGTTTACCATTTCCTCCTCCAGCTCCTTTTAAGATAAGGAAACTGAGGCAAACAGGGTTGAGTGACTTACCCAGGGTCACCCAGCTTTGGGTTAGATTTGAACTCAGGGCTTCCTGACTCCAGGCCCAGCACTCTACCCACTGCACCACCTAGCTGCTCCATTTGTTAATGTGAATTATATCTATTTATATTTGCCACTTTAGAAAAGAAAACATCTTCCCATTATTATAAAAATAGTTTTGACCTCATTAAACCCCCTGAAAGAGTCTCAGGGACTCACAAGGATCCCCAGACTACACTTTGAGAACCACTGGACTATGATCATTAAGATCTCCTCCAGCGGCATAGCCTACGGCGCAGTGGATAGAGCACCAGACCTGGAGTCAAGAAGACTCATCCTCCTGAGTTCAAATCTGGCCTCACACACTGATTAGCTGTGTGACCCTGGGTAAGTCACTTCACCCTGTTTGTTTCAGTTTCCTTTTCTGTAAAATGAGCTGGAGAAGGAAATGGTAAACCACTCCAATATATTTTTCAAGAAAACCCCAAATGGAGACATGACTGAAAACTGACTGAACAAAGTTACTGTAACCCTAGTCCCAAAGCCCACTGGTAGGGACTCCTCTATCCTCTGTTTCTTCAGCTTTAAAAGCAAGGGGCTAGATAGATGATCTCTAATCACTGGAGTCTATGACAGTTCTTTTATTAGAGGACAGCTGGGTGGCGCAGTAGATAGAGCACAGGACCTGGAGTCAGGAAAACCTGAGTTCAAATTTGGCATCAGAAACCTACTAGCTGTGTGGCCCTGGGCAAGTCATTTTACCCTGTTTGCCTCAGTTTCCTCATCTGTAAAATGGGGATAATAATAATAATACCAAGTTTGCATAGTTGTTGTGAGGATCAAATGAGATAATATTTGGCAAGCTCTTTGCAGACTGAAAGCAATCTATATCTGTATCTATATCCATATCTTTTTTATTATTATTATTACTATTGCTGCCATTTGTGATGATGGACAGGAAAAATTTTAGTATTTCACAGGGAGCTCTCGATCATCTGTATGCCGAGTAATTTCAACTGCTCCTATATTAATGATACTTACCCTTCAGCAAGAAACTTATTTGGTCCACCCAATCTCTGGCTTCAGCTGGATTAATAGCTGTAAACTGGAGAAAGAATGATTGAGTTAATCTATGACCTTCCAAATACTTCACTAAAATTGCCATGACCCCTGGTAGGGAGGCATAGGGAAAGGAAGTGGGCAGCTGAGAATCTGTCAGAGCTCTAAACTTGCAAAGCTCAGCATTTCCTGACTGCCTTGGATTCAGATCAAATACCATGGGTCTCATTTAACAAGGAGGAAGGTGCATTTATGCATGTGCACAATAGAAGTGTGCCTATTAGAGAGACTCAGCTTTTGCATCCACTTAGGCCAGCCCCACAACCAGGTGTTTACACTTTCTACACTCAACAAGCAATTGCTGAGTAGAGAACTACCAGGTACTATGGGAAGAGTTTATAAAGAGGGCAGCATAGTGGAGCAGATAGAGTACTAGGCTTGGGGTCAGGAAACCTGGGTTCCAATGTCTACCAGCTGTGTGACCACAGACAAATCACTCTTGCTGTTTAGTTGTTTTTAGTCACATCCTATTCTCCATGACCCCTTTTGGGATTTTCTTGGTAAAGATACCAGAGTGGTTTGCATTTCCTTCTCCAGCTCATTTTATAGAGATGCAACTGAGGCAAACAGAATAAAGTGACTTGCCCAGGGTCACACAGCTAGTAAGTGTCTGAGGCCAGATTTGAACTCAGGAAGATGAGTTTTCCTGATTCCAGGCCTGGCACTGTATTCACTGTGCCCCTAATAACCTTTTTGAGCCTCAGTTTCTTGTCTGTAAAATGGGGGTAATTATATCTATAATACCTACCTCTCAAGTTGTGAGGCTTTTTTTTTTGTGAGGCTTAAATGTGATAGTGTATGTACAGTGCTTTGCCAATTGCTAAGCACTTTATAAATGTTATTGTTAATTATAATAATAAAAAGAAATGCTCAAAAGACATTCAATCTAATAGCAGATACACATGTAGAGAGGCCCATGAAATCAAAATGAAACATTACAATAGCAAGTACAGAACGATGTAACAGAATAACTGCAGGGATGTTGGAAGGATCCAGAATCGGGAAGTAGTCATGGTGGCTTGGGAATAGCTGGGTTTTGTCAGAGACTAAAAGAATTGATGGACACCAACTAGTGGAGAAAGAAGGAAGAGAATTTCATGAGAGGAGGATAATGTTTGCAAAGGCTCATAGATGGGAATAAGTAAACTGGCAGGGAAAGAATAAGGGACAGACTCTAGGCTTGGCTGGAGTAGAAGACTTTTGCTGATAAAAGTGGAAAGGAAGGGGTGGCTAGGTGGTGCAGTGGCTAGAGCATCAGCCCTAAAGTCAGGAGGACCTGAGTTCAAATCCTGTCTCAGACCAAACACTTGACACTTACTAGCTGTGTGACCCTGGGTAAGTCACTTAACCCCAATTGCCTTAAAAAAAGAAAAAAAAAGGGTGGAGAGGTGACAATGAGGGCAAAGTTGCTGTAAGAACTTTTGAATACTTTGAAGAGTAGTTTAAATCTAATATAATAGACAATATGATGACTAATGATGCTTGGAACATGTCTTCTTTCTCACTTTGTGCAACTTTGTCTCACTTAAATCCAGTTCACACAAAACTCAAGACATCCTCCTGTGATGTCATTGGACCTCTCTGAAATGAAAGATGAAGAGGTGGTGGACTGTGGGTATAGTATATGCTCTGCCAAGCATAATGTGTATCATTGTGTCAGTTTGTTTTAACTGTTTCTGGTTTTTTTTTTTTGTTTTTTTTTTTGTTAAATAAGAGAGGATGCTTTGGGCTGATGGCTTTTTGAGAAGTATTTGTGATCCAAAAAAACAGTATATTGATCACTTTTTTTTTTAACGACAGACAATATTAAACTACTGTAAATTTTTGATATGAGGAGTGACTTAAGTGAAAAGATTATCTGAGGGAAGTAATTCTAGCAACTGTGTATAGGACAGACTTTAATAGGAAAATTATGTTGGTGAAGAACTACCTGGGAGGCTGTTGAAGTAGCTTTGGGATGAGATGAAGAGTGCTTGGACTACATTAATGAAAAAGAAGGAAAAGTTATAAGCGCTATCATGGGCAGAGAGCCTGGAAAATATGGCAGGCCCATAATACTCAACTCTAAAAATTAAACTCTTATTAATTTTTTTATTTTAAATAAATGACTTAAAAATGAACCTCCCTGGACAATAATTATATTTTTTGGCCTATTTGGGACAAGATTCAGATTTAGACACCTTGCATGAAAAGTCTGGTGCTATTTATTTCTTTATTCCTAATAAACTTTGCTATTGTTTTGTAATATGACAATCTAAAGTGAGTGGCAAGAAGAACACTGGATTTAGAGTTGGAGGGTTCTGAGTTCAAATCCTGGCTGTCCTCCTTATCACCTTATGTGACTTTGGGCAAGTCACTTTAACTTCCTAGGGCTTCAAGTCTCCTCAGTCCTATAAAAGTGTGTGTGTGTGGGGGGGTGTTGGACTAGATGACCTCCACGGTCCCTTCTATCTCCAGATCCTATGACCTTATTACTCCATTTTACAGGCAAGGAAACAAGCTCAGAGGAAGGAAGAGATACAGTGATGAAGTTAAGATTAAAGCATTTTCATAAAATTTTTCAAAATGATTATAGAATCCATAAGGCAGCTAGCAGGACTTGAGAATCTGGAAGACCTGAGTTCAAATCCTGCCTCAGATATTTACTAGCTATGTGACCCTGCACAAGTCACTTGGACTCTGTCTTCTTTAGCTTTTTCATCTATAAAATGGGGATAATAATAGCATCTATCTTTAGGGTTGTTGTGATAATCAAATGAGATAACACATGTAAAGTGCTTTGCAAACCTTAAAATACTACATAAATGCTATGATGATGATGGTACAGTGAAAAGAGGGGTAGATTTGAGGTCAGAGGACCTAGTATCAAATTTTAATTTTGCTCCTTATTATCTGTGTGACCTTGAGCAAGTCATTTTACTTTTTTGTGCTTCAGTTTCCTCATCTATAAAATTAGAAGGTTAGACTTGATGACCCTTTAAATGGAGTCTACTCTGCATCTATAATCCTATAAAGATTTGCCAGATATTGGAAAAGATTATGCAAAATTGGAATGTGAACAAAGGAGGATCTGCCAATTCTAGAATTCAATTCAATGCAATTCAATATACATTCATTAAATACCTACTATACTTTTCCATTCCCTGTGTATGTACTTGAGATACAAAGACAAGGGAAGGAGGAAAAAGGCCTGGTCTTTAAGGAGCTTATGTTCTTCAGTAGGGGAACAACATGTATGCAGATAAATAAATGTAAAATAATTTCAGAGGTAGACAGGAAGCATCTGCAACAGTCGGGGAAAAATCAGAAAAGCTCCCAAGAGGTGGCTGCATTTGAACTGAGAACTTCATAAAGAAGACTTAAAAGCACACATACAATATAATTTATTTTTATACCTATTTATTTACCAACATATATATTTATACATACATATGTGTATATAGTGTGTGTATATATGTATGTGTGCATATATGTGTATAGATATATCTATATCTACATCTCATATCTAGTTTCAGAAAGCCTAAGATCACTAGGGACTCTAAGGAGATGTTCCACGTTTCAGAGGAAATGAATGAACATAGATATTTGACTCTTTGTGAAGGACTAAGTAATTTACATATTTTATATACAATATAATTTTATGTGTTATATAATTTTATATAATATATATAATTTATAATTTACATAAATTATATAAAGGCTAAAAGTCTATAGACAGAGCAAAGGGAGAGGCATTAGTAGATATCTGTTAGTCAAAAGGCTAATGATCATGAGTAGGACTAACTTTAACATGGCATTCCTTTTCTTCACAATAAGCTAAAATATCCCTTGGTTGTACCAATAGAAGATAAAATCACCAGCATGTAAAAAGGAATCTTTTTTTTTTTTTTTTATTGGTGAGAGTTTTACACAGAGTCAGGAAGACTGTGTTGAATAATAGGAAAGACATGGAAGAATAATCTATTGCCTGCTGTGCAGAAGAATCAGGGGGGGAATCAAATTTTCCCTTATGGGGGAAAGAGAGGGGGGAAGGAGAGAGAGAGAGAGAGAGAGAGAGAGAGAGAGAGAGAGGGAGAAAGAGGAGAAGAGAGAGAGGAAGGGAGAGAAAGGGAAAAGGAGGGAGAAAGAAAGGGAGGAGAAAGAGGGAAAGAAGAGACAGAAAAGGAAAGGGAGATGAAGCAGTGAAACAACTATCTGGAGGATAGAAAGAGAAGACAAGACAGAGTAACAGGAAAGGGGAGGCAAATCTATGGTGAAGTCAGAGACTATGCAAAAGAAATTAGATTACATGTGGAAACAGACAAGAAACCAGTCTATAATATGAAGATGGAAGGGAGAGGGGTGAGCAGGCAGTAATGAAATGGAGAAGATGGAAAGACAGGTTTGAAACCCTGTCCCACAGAGTGTCTGGGATGAAGGTGGATCATAGAGACCTGAGAAAAGGGCATGGCATAGTAGAGGTCAGTCCAGTAAGGAGAAGACAGATCTCAGGTCAGAAATGAGCAGAGCAGCAGGGATTGTCTCACTTGTGTATGAATCCCCAGCACCTAGCACAGTGCCCAGCAAACAGCAGGCACTCGTTCAATGCCTGTTGAATGACTGATTGACTAGAAAGTGATGGACAACAGACCAGTAATCACGGCTTCTGTGTGAGAAGGATAGTGTGGGAGAGAGAACCCTCCTCCAAGGGGCTCCTCTTACCTCATAGCTGCGTCTGTCCAGTGAGGTCAGCTCAAAGCAGGACTCCCTCTTGGAATCTCGTCGCAGGTGGGGGGCCATCTGTACGCTGTAGTCCTTGATGAAAAGGGTCCCTTTGGGCTGCTTACCTAGAAACGAGGAAAACTGTGTCCCGAGAGATCTCACTGCTAGGGGAAGACATCTTCCCTGACACGAAGACCAGCTGTGCTATGCCCGAGTGGCCACAGTAGTCAAAGAAAGGTTATTAGAGAAGAGCATGAAGAGGTGACCGTAAGAGCAAAGCAAAGATCACTCGCTGCCTGGCTCGGGAAATGCAACATGGAAGGTTATTTTGCCAGAAGAGTACAACAGAGAGGGAGAATTTATTAGAATGTTAAGGGATCTATAATAGCAGAGAGAGAGGAGGGATGATTACAGCCGGGAGAGTAGGGCTGGCGATGTGGGGCTCTTGCAGGCCATTACAGAGCTGAAGCATTATTATGAGGGGCTGCAGAGCTCATACCAAGAGCAGGGACAGTGGCAGAGGGTTCCTAATGTGACTGTGTTGTTGCCCTTGGAAGCACTCCCTTCAAGCAGAGGGCTGAGGGGAGTTGATGGTAGAGGGAAAATGATGAAAAAATGACCATTCTTTTTAACCCACCTCACAGAGGTCAAACTAGGAAGGAATTCTCTTATAGAAAAATGATGCCATATTATTTGTACACATAAATTGCCATCCTGGTAGGCAAATCCTAAAGATTCCTGGACATCAAGGGCTGGAGCCGCCTCCTTTACCTCTGAAATCTTGCCAGAGTTTAAGGTCCTTTTCAAGGTCACTGGGCAAATTCTAGACAATGCTTGAAAGTTCCCTGAGCAAAACTTGAAATGGGGGGTGTATGAATTTGAATGCTTTGCCCCTTACTAATCCAGATAATCTCTACCCTTCCTTCCCCTTCATCCCCAGCCACTCCACACTTCAGGGCTTTGGGAGGGGTATGGAGGAAGAAAGGAAGGTTTGGGTGGGCAGAGAAAGAAGTGCAGAAGAGAAAGGGGGAAGCAAGCTTCCTTCTTTGACAGTCAGAGGTCACAGTGTAACAGAGACTTCCAAAGGCTATCTGGTGTGAGAAAAAGAACTCAGAAAATAATCTCAAACACATCTCCAAGTGACTTCCAGTGAGGGGGAAGCCCACCCTCCCATGACCTCTTACATAAGCTCATTCTGCCTTTTTTTTGGGGGGGGGGATAGCTTTAATTGTTGGAAGTTTTTCCTTATGTCGAGCCGAAATAGATTCTGAAAAGATTCTGAAACTTCTACTCACTGCTCCGAGCCCTGCCTTCTAGGACTACAGAGAATAAGTCAAATTCTTCTAACATGAGGAACAGAAAGACATTTTAAAAAGAGAGAGATACTTTTTAGGAAATCTGTGTATGATTGCGCCGTTTCTTGCTTGTAAATTCCTACAAAGATAGGGACAGTAGGATCTAATTTCTTTTGTCAAGGGCAATACAGAACCAGACCCTTTTGGGGTTTTTTTGGGGGGGGGGCTATTGGGGTTAAGTGACTTGTGCAGGGTCACACAGCTAGTAAGCATCAAGTGTTTGGTCTGAGACTGGATTTGAACTCAGGTACTCCTGACTTCAGGGCTGGAGCTCTATCCACTGCACCACCTAGCTGCCCCCAGAACCAGACCCTTTTGATAAATAGAGCAAGGTGGCACAGTGGATAGAATGCCGGGCCAGAGTCAGGAAAACCTGGGTTCAGATCCTGCCTCAGATACTAGCTGTATGACTCTGGGCAAGTCACTTAACTTCTGTCTGTTTCCTCAACTGTAAAATGTGGATAGTAATAGCATCCACTTCCCAGGGCTGTTGTGAGGATCAAATGAGATCATATTGTAAAGAGCTTAGCACAGTGAGTTGGCACATAATAGGAGCTTAATAAATACTTGTTTCCTTACTTCCTTGACTTTTTTGATAAAGACAATAGAGATGATAGAAGCAGGAGAAATAGTAGAAACAGTTCTTGGCTTCCCCACATCCATAGCTATCCTCACCTGGTTGAGCTCAAAGAAATACACAACCATTCTGTACTTAGAGAATGTCCTGGGTGCAATAAGAAGTAACTGGCGAGAAGGGAGCCATGAAGCAGTGGTTTTTGACACCAGAATCTTTTTTGTTAAAGTATCTCTCCTTGTTCTAAGCGGCCACTAAAATGTTTTGTTGTTTCTTTGGTCACCAGATTTTATTTCACCCTGATGGCAAAATGGTCAATAAAAGCATGGATTTCTTTCTCTCTCTTTTAAAGCCACGAGGATAAAGGATTTCTGAATGAACAGAAGACATACGTGGTCATATATCTAGAGGTGCCTGGGCTGGTTCGAGACATTAGCCACCTATTTTTATACAAGGGCAATAGCAAAATACTTCTACACTGACACATACATTACATTGGTTGTTCGAACATTTGAACCAAACAAAACTAGCCAGGCTAGACTGGCTCGCCTGCTTGGGAATCTGAGAAGGAATTGTGGTCGGGGGGCTTATGGAGGGAGGGTGATGGCACAGGGGAAGAGACAGTAGATGGAAAGGAGCCGAAATGGAGTCATGGGTTGGACCTTGGGCAAATTAATTAATCTCTCTGAGACTCCATTTCCTCATTTGTGAAGGGAAGGGAGGGAGAGAACTTAGAACTCAATTTTTAAAAAAAATGTTTAAAAATAAATAATACATTTTAAAATAATAAAAAAGAAAGTTCATAGGATGATAGATTTCTAGTTGAAAGTGAATTTAGAGGTCATTGAGCTCAATCCCTTCATGTTATAGATAAGGAAACTGAGTCCCAAAGAGGGGAAGTTTTTCTTGCCCAAAGTCACACAAAGTAAGTGGCAAAGATAAGATACGAATCTTGGTTATTCAACTCCAAAACCCAATTTATTCCAGTACTTCTTTGCAGTTCAAAGAAGGGGTATAGAGCCCCTGCTTCAGTTGGTGGGTCACTGATAACCAATGACAGAGAGAGAAAGGAAATAAATAAATAGCTAAATAAATAAAGTGAAGGGGATTGGACTGCATGAAGTTGGGTTCCTCTCAGCTTTGATCATAGCTAAATCTCTGATCCTATAATAGGCTGGGTACTTGCATTTCAACTTTAGGAATGCTACAGTTACTGGTTTCATTCCTCATCCCCAGTCAGGAATGAGCATGCTGACTTCACAGCATGACAGGGTTCGGGGCTGGAAGGGATACCGCCCAGGCCTACCTTTTTACCATGCTTGCATTTGCCATATTAAATGGTATTCATTATATTCTGATGGCAAGTACAATTGGTAACTCATGGTAGTCTTCATTCTCCTAAAAACAGCATCACAATGTGATGGAAAGAGGTCTGGATTTGGACTTAGAGACCTGCACTTGACTCCTGGCCCTATTCCCTGTGAAACTTATTTGTTTGTTTGTTTATTTTTTTTAGGCAATTGGGGTTAAATGACTTGACCAGGGTCACACAGCTAGTAAGTGTCAAGTGTTCGGTCTGAGGCTGGATTTGAACTCAGGTCCTCCTGACTTCAGGGCTGGTGCTCTATCTACTGTGCCACCTAGCTGCCCCAAGAAGGGTTATTGCTAACTGGCTGGGAGGAATTGGAGAAGATTTCCTAGAAAAGGGGTCACTGATTTGGGTCTTGAAGATGGGTGTGATTTAAACAAATGCAGATGGGGAGCAGAGAGAAAGGAGGGGGCAGGCATTCCAACTGTAGGGCTTGGCTTGATCAAAGACATGGAGGTAGGAAAACTTAAGATATGCTTAAGGTATGGGGAGTAAAGGGAAGCTAGGTGGCACCATGAATAGAGTGCCAGGATTCAAGTCAGGAAGACTCATCTTGCCGAGTTCAAATCTGACCTCAGACACTTGCTAGCTGTGTGACCCTGGGTAAGTCACTTAACCCTGTTTGCCTCAGTTTCCTCATCTGTAAAATGAACTGAAGAAGGAAATGGCAAACCACTCCAGTATCTTTACCAAGAAAACCCCCAAATGACTCAATAACATAACCAGTTGAGTAAAATAATGGGGGCAGAGTGAGAAGGATTATGTAATAGGGGCCTGGCCAATGAGAATCCTTATAAACATGTACAGAGTGTACTGCTTGGTGGACTCCTGGGCATGTACAAGTCACATATAACTGTTTCATGTCTGCTGACAGTGGGATAAAGAAAAGATCTTTTGGTGGACTGCTGAGTCAGAACTGAGCATGTATACAAAAGTCTCCCAAGGGGTAACTCAACCTGTAAGGTCACTTCAAGTTGTATATCCTATGATTATAGGGTATCTCCAAAGTCTTGGTGCAGTTTTAAGGTATAAAATCTATTTTAAATAAGTTTTTAAAAAAAATTATTTAAGTGATCCAGTTGATCATTCTTTCTAAAAATGTTCTTCCTTGTCTGATCTCTCCTCTTCCTGGGCTTTGGGTGCTTATTTCTGGGCATGGGGGTGAGTGTGGGGGTTGTATGTTGTTTAAATCCCTTTTGACCTCTAATTTTCCTTGGTGAGATATGAATTCCAGCATATCTGTGGTCTGAGGACCAGCCTAGCTTAGTTTGGAAAAGCTCATTGCTAGAAGGCTGGCCACCAGGTAATGAAAGTTTTCAACCACAAGTCACAATGACTGGTTCCTAAGGCATAGTGGGAAGAGATTTGAAGGGGCTTCCAAGGAGTAAACAGGAGATCCCAAAGTGGTATGGAGTAGTGGGAAGACCCTGGGAGCTTAGATTCAAGAGACTAGGCTTCAATCCTATCACTGGATACTGTGTGACCAGAGATACTTCAAGTCTCTGAGCCTCATTTTCTTTGTGTAAAATGGAGATAATAATACTTGCTCTACCTGCCTTTATAGGACAGTTGGGAGGAATGCACTTTGAAAGTCATAATGATGATAATGATAATAGCTAGCATTTATACAACACCTTAAAATTTGCAAAGTGCTTAAAAATATTGCCTCATTTTATCCTCACTATAACACTGGGAGGTAGATGGCTATTATTAATCCCCATTTAGAGTTGAGGAAACTGAGGCAGACAGAGGTTAAGTGACTTGTCCAGGGTCATATAGCTAGTAAACGTTTGAGACCAGACTTGAACGCAAGTCTTCCTGACTCCAGGTCTATCTACTGCGCCACCCAGAATAATGAACAAGAACATCATTAAAAGAGCATCATTTCTAAATGAGTCACTGGAGTTTTCTGCAAAGTACCTAGCCTCTCCTCACATCTGCTTCACTGTTTACAAAGCATCACGCTATCCCTTACCTAAGCACCTACCCTGAATAGGTGTTAGTTAAAGACTGCTATCTTGAGGCCTATAGGCCCCCAGTGTTGGAGGATTTACCGAGGGTTTGGATCCAGGCGTGAGCGGCTGCTGTGCAAAGGGGGAACACTTACTTTTCTCATTAGAGTAGTAGTAGAAGATTCCTTTACTGACAACACACCATCGCTTCTGCCACTCGGAGCCGAAGAAACCATGATCTAAATGAGGGAGCAGGAGCGGACATAAATTCAGATAACGACAACCACTTGAAGAATCCGTAAAATGTACCAACACACCGTCCGGCGTGTTCCTGTTTTATTTCCCAGGTTAATGGACTGTGAAACCCTCCCCTTTACTCCCACAGGTTATCCCATATTGAGTCACAGAGATGAGGCACCAGGTCTCAGTAGGGTACAGAATCAAAGCTCTATTCTATGTATCATCCCTGCATCTGGCTTCATTTTAACATTTCTGATTCACCCCTTTGTTTTACGGCCCTTTTTTACCTTTTTTTTTTTGTGAACAAAAATAATGCCCCAGGCTAAGGAGCAAGTCTACTTCTGTGCTAAGCTAATTTACCCATTCAAGTTCATGAGCTGGAGCTCATTAGCACTGTGCTTGAACCAACTGAGTTAAATGGTCCAGACCTGGGCTTGCCTGGAATTTAAATTTGGGCCTTCTTACACCTGACACAAAAAGGATCTCCACCCCCCCCCCTCCCCCGGGACATGCTTCACTACACTTTTGTCAGGGTATTTAGAGATGGACCCTTGTAGATCTGGGGCTAGAAGGGACCTCGAAGATTATGTAGTCTAACCTCTTTTACTTTACAGATGAGGAAACCGAGGCTTAGAGCAGCTAAGTGACTTACCCAAGGCCACAGAGCTAGCAAGTGGCAGGGCCAGAAGCTGAACCCATTACAACTCCAATGCAATGCAGAATTATGGCTCCAAATGTGTATTCTTTTCCACACACCATACTGTTTTCAAATATCTTGGGCTGAATCCCCCTCAGTCTCTATGCTAGGGTCCAGACTCCTCTCTTGTTATTTTTGCAGCTGATTATTACCTCTGCATTTCTTCTCCAAGTAGCCCTGCTTTATAATGTCCTCCAGCTCCTGGGCCCCTTTTGTAATGATCTCTTCCATTTCTATTGAGGAGGCGAGACAGAGAAGAGGGAATATAGTAGATTAGGAAAAAAACAAACAGGTAAATACCCAAACTTTATGTCTTTGGAACACATTATTTTATTACTAAGTATGCTTTTTTCCCCTTACACTGGAATTCCCTGAGCACACATCAATCAGTGGTGAGGGGAGGAGGAAGCCCTCAGGAAGTTAAGTCCCACACGGTTAATCCACATTCAATTAATCAAGAGTTGAATTAATTTTTTCAAAATTGAAGACATTCAATTCAATCCAACAAGCAAATTATTGACAAGTAAATATTTAATAACATACTTGTTGGATAAATTAAATGTCTTCAATTTTGAAAAAATTCAAGGTACTGACCTTGTCCTCAAGTGGCTTATATTTTACTAGGAAAAAAAAAGAATTGTACTGAGAATGGCCTTCACCATAAACACAGCAAACTTACAGGGAACCACAGGCAAATGTACATGTGTGTGCATATATGTGCACACACACACAACCAATGAAGCAGAACTGATCCAACTTTTAGGAACCTCCACTTTATAAATACACTAGATAAAAGAGCTATGCAAGCTAAGCTGGGTAATGATTGCTCAAAACACTGGTTTCCCTGAATCATCTCAAAGAAGCTAAAAGAATCTGAGACTTCTACAATGATGAGAGAAACTTTGGAATTCACACCAAGCCTTTAATTGTGCACTACGCAACACACTTGGCTTTCAATTAGCCTCATTAGGGACAAATTCATTGAGAAGTTGGTGTCTTAATCCATCTTCCTCTACTAGGCTTTTTACTCATTTTATAAAGGGGAAGGTAAAGGACAGAGGCTGTAAGGAATAGGAAGCTAGAAAGAGAATGATGGGGGGAGAAAAAAATCAGAATGGTGGATTTCATCATTAGGGAAAAATGGAGGGGGAAAAGGTAGGGTAGATATATTCAGAGTCCTTTTATTCCCCAAACACCAATCAATTTCTTTTAATTTGCTTTTAAAAATGCTGAACACTTTCCCCCTACACATGCATGGGACAAAAATAGAAGTATGCACCATGGTACCACTGTGTGTGTGAAACCCCCCTGATTCTCTCTTCAGTGTCTTGGGAATCTCAGGTGATCATAATGTGTTCTAAAAAAAGGACTATCTCAGATAAACGAATCTTAGCCTGGTTCCCTGTACCAGCTGCATTTCAAGCATGAGTCATTTTTGAAAAATGGACATCAGGTAAGCTTCTCTTCCTTCTTAGCATGTCTATAGCACCAGATCCTTCATCTAGTTCATGCACATTGTCAACTTTCTTGTTTGGGGCCCATTTTCACCTTTGTGTTTTATTGTTAGCAAACTCTGGGCTGGCTATACATCCTCACAAATAGGTCTCAGGGTAAAAACAATGGACAAACAAAAACAAAGGGAAAGTCCATTTTTCTAGGATTCCTTCCTCTCTTCTAGAAACCCCGGCAAATTTTTGGCCTTTGCTGCATACTACTGTCCAAGAAGGCAGTGGTCAAGGTCTTTATCAGTTTGGAAGGGGTTCAGGAATCAGAGTGTAAATACTGCTTAAACAGCCCATGCATACTAGTGCAGACACTTGACAGGAGTGTTCCCCTTCCTTCCAATTAAGCTCCAAGCAAAAGGGGACTTTTGAAGATATTTAACTGCTGGAGACTAGAATCAAAATTTGGGTCTCTAGGAGAGGAGAGTCAGCTTAGAATTTTCTACTATTCTTTTTTTCACACAGTTTTTTTTAAAGACCTTGTTAAACCCAGAGACACAACATCTTGCTGAAGATGCCAAGAGACTGACTCATAAAAGACATGTTAAACGTTTTATTGGAATTCTACCTCCCCCCCCCTTTTCTTAAATGCAAATCTAAATGCCATTTTATGGAACATCTATAATTATGAAAATGGGAAGATGTTGCCTCGTGTGCAGAGAGAGTCTGTGAGTATGAATATTACATTAATGTGCCCACACCAGCTCACTGATCCTGCTGGCAGGAGCATAAAAAATGCTTGAGTGAAACTTTTATTTAGATGTTAAGACTCCAGGCCCCAGCGGGGTGACAGAGACAGTCCCTGTGAGTTGCCATCAGAGAGAGAGCTTGAATTGAATTACCCAGGGGGGAAGGAAGTAGTGATGAGCACGGCTTCGCTTATTTAATTTCATTTACTTTCAGTACATTATCATCGTGAGGCTTTCTTCTCCCCTCAAGAATGTCACCACCAAGAAAACAAAGAAATAATGTTGCATAAATAGCTGAAATATAGAGGGCTAATTCACAGTCTCTCTGTGTGTATATATGTGTGTATATGTATGTATGTATCCCTGTTAGCATTTCGGAAGGCATAAAGATGCCTAGAGATCAGAGAAGTGAAATGAGAATTAGGAGGCCCCAATGACACCTGCTTTTGCCAGCAGTCAGATTTTGTTTCCTAAGACTGTGGGCAGAATAGGTTGCTGAATTCTCTGTCTGTCTGTCTGTCTGTCTGTCTGTCTCTTTTCTGGTTGACCATGAATGGAGTTTGGCACACACTTAGCCGGAAGTGCTCAATTTCAAGTTAGTAATGCATGTACTCGTAAGATGTTTTCCTTCCTATTAGAAAGGGCATTTTGTGGAATAAGAATTAAACTCATTCTGTTTGCTCCTCGAGGGCAGAGCCAGAAGCAAAGAGGTAAATTTAGTGTTGGTTCTAGGAGAAAAGAAGGCTGTTATGACCACATGTTGAGGACGTTGTGGAGGTGAGCCTTTTGGGGGTTATGGGCTTGATTCAATAAGTGGTTGCTGAGGTCCCTTCCAACACTGAAATTCTATGCCTCTCCTCCCTTAAATCATGGTTTGATATCCAGGCTCCCACTCTCCTTTCCCCAGTGCCCATCATGGCTCACAGCATGCATTTGCAAAAGAGATGACTAGGCTGAGGAATGTGGGAAAAACATCAATGTGTCAAATAAAAAAAGTATTAAATGCCTACTACGTGCAAGACACCCAGCTGCATGGCATAACAGAATTCTCCTCTGCGTGAAGCTAACAGTGACTTTGGCCTCATTAGCACAATGCTCTAAACACCAAGGCAGGAATGTAGTGGAGCAATTAAGATGTTTTTTCTCAGTGTCTCAAACCAGGGGTCCCACTGATCAAGCATTGTTGATCCTAGTGAATGCACAGCATCTGCCTCATCATGAGCGTCACACACAGGGTGATGTGGCAGACAGTCTGGATGGCTTAATCCACATCTTGTGGTGATTAAATCTACACACCTGTCAAGTGCAACAGTTGGTGATGAGTCTTAAAATACAATGCAAGAACAGATGGGCCATGGATGCATTTATTGGAAATGGACAGCTCTTGCGGATAGACCTAAACGTGGATATCCTTGCAATCAGGCACCAGACAGATGTATGTCAGTGCCACAACCTGCACCATCATGCTTACTAATCTCTCATTATAACCCACATAAGAACAGACCCACTTAACTAAGGGATGTGGGGTCATAAAGATAAGATCGATAGAAAAGTGTGTTACCACAGTGGTGATGGCCACCCAACTTTCATGGCAGATGAAGATAAAAGAAATTCTCAGACATTCTTCTCCTCCTACCCAGAGTCCTTTAAATTCTTGCACACCACCCACACCCAACCCTGCAATAAACTATAGGGCAGGATTCCATCTCTCAGCACTCAATGTGACTCCCCAGTCAGCTATGCATAGCTACAACAATGGGGACTCTTTGGCATGTGATACATTTCCAGAAAGCAGTCAATAAAAGAGACACAGGAGCTTATGTGAGTCACGGCCTATTTAACCAGCTGCTTTCTAGCCCAGTGAGAAAAGAGAATTGGAGAAATCAGTTGGCGGCGCCATAGCACATGGCTAATAACATAGGAGGCCACTGTAAAAAGACCATCGTTGGCTGGAGTCTCTGCAGAACAAACCAGACACCCACCAGCCTTCATTAGAGGCAGCTGGCTCAGTCTTTTGCTAAATCAACCTGAAAAGAGACTCGATGATTCTTTTCTTTTTTTTTTTAACCTTTTGTTCAACTTTCCCCTCTCCCCCTTCTTAGGTTCTTAAGACTTCTCTCGACCTCACACGAAACCCCCTGCCCTCTTTTTTCTTTTAAATTCAAGTTCTTTCTTGATGCCAAATGAACTATAGTTCTTGGACTATCTGGAGTGAAGGTTAGCCAGTTTCCTTTATTAAAGGATTGGGTCAATCTAAGATTTAAGGCTACAGTTAAGTTCCAGCTATATATCGAATTCACCCATGGAAGGCATGGATTGACTATGTATGTATGTCTATGTGTATGTAATTTGAGTGGCCTAACGATCAGGAAAAAGGAATGGACATTATGATTCCTCTGTTCTACTGCTCTTGTCCTTAGAACTTCCAAATTCTCCCTCTGCTTCTTTCCATTTAACCCACTTCTCTGTGTTATTCCACTGGCTAAGACATCTTTTAAAAAATTATTTAATATTTCTTTGCTGTATTGGATTCCTCCCTGCCATGTTTTTTTATTGCTCTTTTCACTTTTTTCTTTTTTTAAATTAATTTATTGTGAATTATTAACAATCACTTCCAGAAGCTTTTGAGTTTTAAATTTCACTTTTTTCTTAAGGAGAAGTAAATTGACAAAAAAGCTAAGTTGCAGCATCAGGGATGATAGTCTATGATGTATGCAAATAGGTTAGTTTATTTCTCTTTTGTGTTTCAAGCTCCTTGCAGACAACCTTGCATATAGGAGCACAGACTTTCGATTTCATTGGTATAGGGAACTCCTGGATTTGCAGATTCCTGCTACTAATGCACTTTGGCACCTTTTCCCTTTTTGGCCATTTTTATCATTACAGAGCTGCCTAGAGAGTGGAGAATTTAAGTGACTTGCCCCAGGTCACAAGGTCAGAGGCAGCATTTGAACTCAGGTTTTTCTGGCTTCAAGGACAGCTCTCTACTCCACAATGCTACTTTTCATACAGGAGTTTAATAAACATTCACTACTATTACTT